CCAACATTAATCTGGAAATAAAACAGCTTCATTTTCAAAATAATATTTAAACTTTCACAAATGAACTCTAGATAGTCTTGTATAAATCTGCAAAAAAAAAAAGAAAACAGGTTACTATGAACAAGAACCCAATATTGATTTTTCTGCGGTGCAGTAAAGCATCTCCATTCTATTTGGCTGCTGTCAAAGCCACTCTTTAACAGCTGGAGTCAAATTGCACTATTTACAGCAAGAGCCCTTGTCAAGTGGACCATAAGTATTCTAACAATACGCTATTCAAATGGCACTTTGCCACACAAATTGCTGACTTGATGAATACCCTATGTCAATGACTAAGGCCAATATAAAAGTTTCATTTTTATGAGAGGTTTTACATTCACATATTAAGTAAAGCTTTCTTGAAGAACTATTAAGCTATATATTTTGGGTCTTTTGACATTAAAAATAATTAAAATCTGTTTAAATATATCAAGGGAATTTGACAACATTAATATGGATCTTGTGTTAACTGCATTTGTCACAGTCATCTGTTATTGGTACTCCCACTGGCACGTGCAACACAATAAAAGAATTAAAATGGTCAAAACACCATGAAATCAAAACATTCTGCTTTTGTATCCGTGATTTACATGATGGCAAAAGTTCTGAAAGAAAGCCTTTGTAGCTGGACTACTATGTGAGGATATTTATCTTTTTTAGGATGGAGGAAAGAGAGACCATTATTTTGAAAACATTCTTTCATCTTAAATATAATATGAATGGTAAAACAATGTAACACTGGCAAGAATAAATGCTGAATTTTACTTGCAATCTTTATGTGAATAACTCATTGTACAAAAGGATCACTCTCAATTAGAATACCAACAGGACAGAATAGCTACCCACTCATTTTTCCTGTCACATAAATCTTCTGAAATTGAGTTCCTTAATATATGCTAAAATTGATGATGGGGTTTTTTGACAGAAAAGTTATTAACAGTTTAGTATGTTGTTAAATTTCTAATGCACAATTTGCCAAAGAAGGAAATTGATAATGAAATACTAATTCTATATTAAAATCCACTGATAATCTGAAAGTTTTGTGATATTTTTACATGTGTAGTAATTATATGCTTTCATTAATAGGGCATGGAATGTTGAAGTCTGATAAACACAGTTCTCTCACTAATTGCATGGGATCTGAATTTCCAGAATATTTCAAGATGCTAAAATAGAATGATGCAAAAGAGTCAATAGAGCACTTTTTGAAAAACCTTATACATTTTTTTTCTGCACAAAACTTAGGAAAAACAGGAGACTTCATAACAAGTCTTCAATTCAGCAGTAACAGAACAGTGCAAAAAAAGCTGCAGAGCTCCACACTCCTTTTGTGTAGCCAGCACTGGGCGTCTGCAATAGCATTAAGGGGACTTCCATTGTTATGCTTTTCCCAGGTTCAGCTACACTAAATACATTTAGGCTCCAACATCTCCCACACCAATCTACAGAACCCTCTCCAATGCAGATGCAAGTGGGAAGAAGCTCTGAAAGTAGTGGATGACACATGTTTGATGAAAGAAAAGTGCTTTCCCAAGTTAAATTAGAACTTAATTTATTATGAATTTAGACAAACCTATCAGGTCTGCAGTGACAAAAAAGAACATGAAACTAAAAAAAAGATATTTTGACAGAAAGTCTAAAAGACATCAATAGTATTCTTAACAAGTGTGCATTTGGACAAGACAATTAATAAGCAATATTTAACCATAATATAGAATAATATTTTGGTAAATCAGAGCAGACAAGATTTATATCAAATCAAAAAAGCACTACAAATCACTGTATTTTCAGGGTTTCCTGTTGTGATATTTCTCCCAATTTAAGATCATAATTCCTAAAGCATGTTAAACTCCACGATTTAAAATTTACTAAAAACTCTTTTCCCGTATTCCACAACAGCACATTTTCTTTCCTCCCACCTTGTTAAATCCATGCATTTTTTATTTTAATAGTCATACCTAAAACTACTTACCAAACAACTACCAAAACTTTTTTTCTTTTGTTCCTATTTAAAAGGGCAAGAAGAAACTATTCCTTTTAACAAACTAACAGGGAGATCAGATTCTGTGTCAATGGCCAACTAGTGCACCATCTGCCCCACAACATGCTCAGCAGGATTACGCGCTAATAAGACTTTTCAGAAAATGGGATCAAAAAGAACTTTAGAAATCAGACTAAGGTTAGTAAAAGGTCAAATAAAAATATTAAGAGTTAAACTACAATCATTAGAAACTCAATGTTATATGGAAATTTGAAGATACAAGGAAGAAAAGAAGATAAAACTCCAGAGTGAGGACTTGGATCAAGCTGTACTTTATCAGTTTTGAAATACCTGCTACTTCACTTCTTATAATTAATAAAACCACAATAAAGGCCAGAGACCATTCTGAAGGCTGTTTCCATGTGTGATTGAGGGAAAGCATTTTTTACTCTCAATACTTGTGGTAAAAACCTTCTATGTACATTGAGGGTTGAGGAATAGCAGATAAAACTTCTGTTTATCACAGAGAATAGAATTCCCAAAATCCATTAATTAAAAAGTGGTAAGCAAGAACAAACAACATAAGAGCTCTATTCTTAAGATACACTGTAATCAAGAGTTCAGTGAATATATTACTTTCTGGTGCACTAATAGGGGCTAAGAAAATAGGTTTCTACCATTTTTTTCCCTATATGAAAAAGGCAATATCCATCTCATTGAATTTGAAACCGTATTAAATTAGAGAGTTATAATAACCAGTTTTAAAATTAGCAAATAATTACTATATTAATTTTAAATATCTACAAATATATAGAAGTACAGATTTATCTAGGCCACAAGAAAATAGAGTGACTATTACATTTTTAATCTTAGTTCTCATTATTTGATGTCTCAGTACTCATCTTCTCAGTTTTAACATCACATTTACACTACTTTAAGCATATTATTTGCTTCTATTACTTAATCAAAACAAAAAGAAAGAGCACATCTTTTCCATCAGTCTCAATTGGTTGGTTTAATGATTTTGGTAGGAAAGTATTTCTAGATAAAGCCAAATACAAATCTCTCCCTGGCCAAATCTTTCCTGAAGATGATCATACCTACTTGCAGCCCAGCACCTCACAAAAGTATTACCATCTTTTTATCTAATAAGGTGCCAAATTAATTGCACTAATAAAAACATAAGGCACTTGCAGTCTATTCTGTGATGATGTTGAGAGAAAACACACATCCCATAAAAACTATGATAAGAGGAAACTGTGGTCTCATTAAAAGAGCAATAAGAGAAATACCAAGAGCATGGGATCACTGTGTGCTTGTTTTCGAGACACAGACATTTGAATGGGTCTAAGGTGTATTCAGCTCTTGTCAGGGTACTACTGACAGTGCAGTCACAAGCTAAGAGGTAAGAGGAAATAGGATCTAACTATAGGTAATAAGGTCTGAGAAAATACTTTTGAGAATAGCTACTAATGACCTTGCATAAGTCCCTATGCCAATTTTCCTCATTTGTCTATGAAATGGGGTTGAAGGCATAAAAACTGAGCCAGTCAGAAGAAGCCTTTATAAACTTAAAATGAGGCCACCACCCCATTTAGTTGTTAGTGGGAGACAGGGTAAAGAATTAGAATCACTACTAATTGCTTGAGAAAAATGCTCTACTCTTCACTCCTACCTTATCTGAAGATTTCTCTGTATGAGTCGGATAAGGGCCCATGCCATGCTTATATGAGCTGGAGTGTTTGTATCCAGAATTCTTCCTCCTTTTTGACTCCTGAGACACAGGAAGTAGAGCATCTGCCACTAAGTATTCTGAATCTTCAATGGCAGTAAGAATTGCTCTTGCTGTGTCACCGGTTTCATGCCGTTCCAGAGTGCCTAGAGAAAGACAACAGAAGTTGTAACTTTTTCAATGAGCTATGCTATCACATCTCTATCATAGAATTAATATAGTACATGACATGTGAGCAAATAAAGCACAAAATATTTACAGACCAGGCAAATAACTACTCTTTTTAAAATTAAAAATGTATTGTACACTATTACTATTAAAAAATAAAGTTTAATTTCTAAAGAAACCACTGCAGCAAAGCAAATAACTTTGTGTCAGACCACAGGCAGCTTCAGGTATTTTACACATGTGGAGTGAGATGCAGTTTTCAAAGGGAGCCAGAGATATTCACAAAAATATTACCTGCCCTAACTGTTCAAAACGGTAATTTGGTTTCTCTTCACAAACCCCTCCCAGAGCACCTATATCATTAACAGTGTAAACAACAACACATTTATGTAATATTTTAGTGCTGTCCTCTAGTGTTCTGAATTACAAATAGCAAGAGAAAGCTCTATTTTTTTTCATTCCATTCCTAAAAATTGTCAGACATAAAGAAGGTTTATACATGAATATATATGTAGCTTAGTCATCTGGGGTATGAATGTGATGCTTCAGAGACTACTTCATCACTTGTGTGATCCTCTAGAATCTAAATCCTCTAATTGTTGTACCCACTTATTACTTTAATTACTTTAGTAAAAATTTTATTTAGTAATACTATTTTAATTATAACTACCATTCAAAATATCAAAATGAGTTTAAATGTATTTGAAATGAGCTACTATTATACTACACATTTCCTATAGGAATTAAAAGAAATTGCTGAAATAGTACGCTTCCTATAAATATCAGATATAAAATACATCTGAAGGGTTTTTCAAGTATTAAATATCAGCTATAAAATGAAATGTTTTTCCCTTAAGTTTGAAATCTTTCTACCCTCAAGTAATACAACATGAATTTTCCCTTTCACTGCTACAAGAAAAAAATGTGTAACATTGAAGTTCTATCAGTAACACCTGCTAAAAATATTGGACTGGGATTGAGGGATCTCATACAATAAGTGTTTGTGTGTATATGTGTGTATAAAATCTCTTTATCTGAAATTATTTCTCTGAAACTCATCCATTTCTTTTCACAGCCGTATCACCTCTACTACTCATATGATGAAGACTTTGAATTCAGAGAAGAAGAAAATAGGGCACCTGTTTCTTCGTCCCCTATAAAAATCAGTTGAACACCACAGATTACTGCAATATTACACTGACAGAAATAAGAATCAGCCCCAGTTGTTTTTAATGTGCCATTTTCTTAATTCTTCCCCAGGACTTGCAGCCAGTGCCAGGGACCATTACAGAACAGGATGGTTACTGAAATGAAAGTAAGTTGCCCAGAAGGTCTTCATAGTTAGACTGCCTACAAAGCTCCCAAGCACTGACACATTTCAGGAACACACAGACTGTAGCTAGAGATGACTACAAGGGATGATTGTACAGTTCGTGCTGGACATGAGCAAACATTCTTACAAGTACTAAAGCATTTACAAAGTAAAGAAGTTTGGAAATAATACAGTCACTCAGCTAATATTATTTCGGCTTCTTTATATATGTAAAGTAGCCTTTCAAGCTATAAACATGCCACAGAACTATGTGGATTATTCAGAGCACAATATGAACAAAACTGAAATAAATCATTGGTCTTCCTACTTTTAAGTGGAGGGGTCTATCACCTTCTGTGGCAAGTCTACTACACAGTGAATACTTGTACATACGTATATACATACATATATCAAACCTTGCTTTCTGTAATGCTTATATCAGTGCAAGTCACTGCTGGAGTCCTCAAGATTATTAATATCTCTGTGAAATTACCAGGTATCCTGTTCTTTTTAAGAGAAATTACAGAAAATTTTTAATAAACCCAAGACTTTTGGGGGCATGGTACAAAATGTCAATAATCTGACTAGTCTTTGTTATTAACAGAACTTCCAAACATGTCTTGGTAGCACCAGATGCATATGAGTACTTCAGCAGCAGTCATCCCTCAGAACCAGACCATTCTGTGGGATAATCTAGTGGACATAGAATAGAATATAATTTAGTTAAGGCTGTCACTCTACAGACAGACTTGGGTTATTTTCCATATATCAGAGCTTTTCTCTGGCAACAGCTTCAGAGCCAATTTTTCAACTTCAGGTTGAAGAAAAAAATTTTAGTTGACAGAAAAAGAAACATACCAGAAGTAGTAAAAGGTACAGAAAATCTGACAGCAGAATTTAACCTTGGGAGGCAACGGCCTGAATAGAATAGGTATTCTCAATGTACCTTAAAGCAAATTCATGTTTTACATATTTAACACACATCTTATTTTAAACAGATGACAGATATGCTTCTATATATTACAGACTTACCAGATGCAAAGTGAGAAGACACCAACCGGTTGTGTAACTGAACATTTCTGCTGCTAACAAAATCATCTTTAAGTGCATCAGAACAATGCCATTGCAAGTATACCATTGTTGAAGAGTTTGGAGAAGAGAAAATTAACTTCTGATCAACTGAAAAAAGCCCTTTAGGGTTTACACTAGGCAAGAAACAAGGCTTGGCTTCTCCCACAGAGAACTTACAATTTGTTTGATTTTAAGTTTTCATTTGCAAAGCATGTTTATAGAGAAGAACATTGAATAGCAAATGCCCTGGACAACCAGCTTATTTTCTTACTAACAAAACATTATGACACCCTAAAATCCATTTTAAAAACTCCTGTTACATCTTTAAATCATTTGTATATCTCTCATAACAGCTATCTCAAATCCCTTTTAAGTAGCACCTTCCAGAAGATGGCTAGTTTCTTAAAAAAAACCCCATCCTTTTTTGCATATACTACTCAATCCTGTTCCCCATTACGAACATCTCCATGTGCATATTTGTGTGTACAGCTGATACCGCAATAAAATGGCACAAAATGCATAGGAAAATGTGTGATCATTAAAGTGTTACATAGTATTTACATTATATGCTTAACTTAACTCTTCTGAGTATCCCAAAATACTCATTTACAGAGCAAAGAGTTGGCAGAGACAAAATAAAGAAGAGATCTGTATTCTGTGATGCCTGAATACATCTGAGAAACAAACAGGGAAGATGAGGGGAAAGGATTTAGAAACCTGTATATATGACAAATACCTGTATATATGACAATGTATCTGACCACTGCAAACAAGGAAAGTAATACTGGGGCAGGGTGGTTATTGTTCAGAAATTTGTTAGGAATACACTTAAAGGAAAATAATAAAGAGTAAGAAAAAAAGCTTGTAGATGAGAGCACAGGAAAGTGGACAAATAAGATTCGCTATCAAACCCGAAGTATTAAATACAAATAAGCCTAAAGGATTTTGATTGAAGAAAATAAAATAACAGTGGATGAACAAGAAAAGGGTGTCTACACAGCAGCACCACCACTGCTATGACCCCCTACTATACATACAAAATACAGGAAAAGAAAGTCTTTATCTCTCTAAAGCTGTGACCATGGCAACCAAGTCTCAGGAACAGACAAGAGTGGAGTATTTCACTCTCCTGGGCAGCTCTGGACCACCAGATGTGACTGGCTAGAGACTGCTACAACATCTTATTCTTCCTGTGGACCAAGTACTACAAATTGTGTCTCTTGGTGTTAGTGTTGTCCACACAGTTCTCTGGGTTCTGCATACTGAAGGATGTTTTTTTACTGGAGAGGTCACGCATATCTTCCTGCCTCAAGACGAGGCATTCACTGCCATCACATGACCTGTCATATCATCAGCTCCAGTGCTCTGTGTTTGCTGCCACAGCTAAAGTATTGAAAATCCTCAGTATTGCACTGCTGCTGTGACCTAGTAACTCAGATGACTCTTACAGCATAACAGTGCTCTGTGAATGAGAAATTATTTCAGAATTGATTTTATTTAAAAACAGCATGTGGCTGAGAATAAATCCTTTTCTTTACTAGTAGTCAAAACAGAAAACTCAGCATTCAGAACAAGTACCATCTGTAATATTAGTTGGTTTCTTTTCTGTTAAGATCTTCTTTTCTATAAATACCTATTTCACCTGAAAAAAAACCCCTCCCAACACACTTTTTTTCTATGTCGGTAAAGCATACAGAAATTTTATGTTCCTTGCTACAAAAATGCTTGAATTTTACAATTCTACAGTCTTGCTCCAAGACAGCTGGCAAGCACTTGGCTTGAAAAATTTCTCCTTATAGCTAGTACTACCATTCCAATATCAATTGACCCAAAACACATGGAACAAATACTACATTAAGAACATATATTCCAAACAATATCAAGACAAAAGTAAATGCCATCTAGCAAATAGAAATGGGATAGATTACACAAAGTCCAGCCTATTAAATAATCTAATATTTTAGAAGATACTTTAAGTATGAGATAAAAAATAGAGATGCCCTGTGATGTGTCTTTGCAGACCCTCCTTACTCATTTTTGCATTTGGAAGATTTCTGTCATGTCCAACTCTGTGTGTTATTGACATTCTTCAGAATACACACTTTCAGAAGAGCATTAGCAAACTACTGTCAATATCCTTCAGCTGAAAAAAAACAATGAGCATCAACACAAAGAAAACCACTGAAATAAAATGTATAATGGTAGTTTATATATGTGGGTAAAAAGAACAATTCCCCAACACAGCCAGTCCCTACCTCAGGATTTCTGATGCAGACACAAGACCCCAAAAGAAAGGACACTCCCCTGCTCTCTCCTTGACGCCATCTAAACTATTCCAAACAATTGAGGACAATGATCCTTTGAATTAATTGTTAAGACACAATAAATGTGCCAAACTGGGCTGAATGGAAGATACGAACTTGGCAGCTGCGAACTTGGCAGCTCCGAACTTGGAAGATATGCAAGTAGTTTCCACCTACTCCTTTAACACAAACTGAAAGATGGAATGAGAATCGGTCCCTTCATGTCTGGAATGAAACCCCTCCCTGCCGTGCACTCTTCTGACTGCACTGGATCATAGCAGTTTTCAGTTATACTTCTTATATGCAAATATGTAAAAATATATATATATATGTACACACAGGTATAAATTCTTATTCATTAATAATAAGAATGAAACTCAGTTGTCAGCTGGAGAGAACAGACACATACAGCTAAACTCTATACATGTTCCACCAAGTATACATAAAGTACATAAATGTGCGTATGCATGCACTTATAAATATACTCTCAAATGTAAATATAGACTCTTGTATACTGAGGAGAGTCAGGTATCCTCAGCTTGTGCAAACTAGGGAGAAGATGACACTGCCTTTTTTTTTTACCCTGAGACAGACTTTCCCAAGCTCCACTACCCTTTATTATTCTACATCAATAAGTATTTACTGGACGATGACTCAAATTTAGAGAGCTATGAAATATTCAAGTACAAGCTACAGACTGACCCAAGGCTTACACATATAAAATATAAGATGCAATAAAAAATGGGCAAAACATTAGTTAAGTTTTAGCTTAAGGCTGACAAATTAAAATAAACAAAAAAAACCCCAAACCAAAATGCTAAGTTCCACAAGGCATATATATTAATTTTTAAATTTTACTTAGAGATTTTCAGATCTTTAAGCTATGCAAAATTCAATAAAAAAGAAGCAAGAAGGTAGCGACTGCTATGACTTTGACCCTACATCATGGCCTCCAGCAGATGAAACACAACTATGGGATTTATCAGTTAGGCCACAATCACCCACTCAGATCTAATTCTGACCAACGACCTGAAGAGAAAAAGAGAACAATAGAGCAACAAGGAAAATGTAAACTATATCAAAAGAGACTGTAAATCACTAAATTTTACAAGGACAAAAAGTCACAAAAATGTAATTATTCTTGGTTCTGCAATTATGTAGGCATAACTCTTAGTAAAGTAATGACCAAATTTACTTTGATAGAATTCTAAGTTTCATTAAAACTTTACAGCTTAATTTCTCACAGTCACCTGATGAAGTCTAAGCATTAACTTGCTAAACAGTTCAATCTCTATATGTCTATATGGGATGAGAAAAGTTGTGAGATGGACTGAATAAAGGCCTACTTAGGAAAAAAAAAAGGCCAACAAAACAACCCAAACCCCACCCCTCATATTGTTCAACTCATGTGATACTTTCTGCTTACTATGAGTTTAGAAGTCCCACTGTTGGCACCAATTATAAAAATATTGGAGCATATATAACTACATAAAATTATCTTTAAACAGTGTCTGAAAACCTTCCAGCATCTTTGACCATCAATATGATCAAAGGCTTGATCCATAGCATCATCTCTGCAGAATCATTTAATTTTCTCTATGGCAGAGGTTTTATGCAACATTTAAATTTATTGATGTGGCATTAACACAACAAAAATTATTTGCAGAGTATTTTCTTTTCTATTTTTCATAAAATTTTTTTATGATCATACAGATGGATTTGACTAATGTTAGACACTACATATTTTATTAGCGCTGACAAACTCATTAAAAGGCTGGTTTATTTTATTGATACCTGTGTAGCTTTTATACGCTTGAGGTAAAATTTTCCATGCTTGACAGCTATCTTAAGGTGGTATTTTTTTTTTTCCTTTCTCAGCAGAAGTGTCTCAAGCCATTAATCCTTCTTGTTAAAGTCATGAAATGCAAGTGTTTCAGAAAAATTTCATGCCTTAAAGCATGGACTCAAAGTTGAACATTCACCTTCTGTGAACTGAACCTCCAAGCTGATGCCTTGCTCCCACCACAGTGCCAGCATTGCTTAAAGCACTGCTGCTTTTCCTGCTTGCTCAAGCAGGAGAGGTCCATATAGACCATTCCACATCGTGACAGTCAGTCCCCTTACATCTCTACCAAAAACCGTGAGATAAACACATCAGTATCACCCTGATGCTACATTTGCAAAAACAGGTACAAACAGCAAAGAACACCTCTGAATTGAGGTAGCAGGTACTTTTCTGCACACTCTCTGGTATACTCAATACATCAAAAAAATGGGGGGTTTAAAATTACATACCAGCTAGAGTGTTCTCAATAATTCTGTATAAAACTGACATTCTTAGTATTTCTGATTTGTTTAGATGCAGACATTAGAAGCCAAGACAACTGTAATGCTTCCGCACTTATAAAGAAAATGGCAGAACTATTGTTACTAAACAGTCAGATACTGTGATAATAAACATGTGAAAATACAAGGAAAGGTATTCTATTCAGAAACGGATTCAGAGCACAAATAGGAAAAGTGATACACTAATAGCATGGATAAAACAAAATACCGTATATTTTGCTATTGTCTATCATGTATTAATGATTTTTGACCATTTCTAATAAGGATTGTAAGCAGAGTTAGTTTTGACTATCCAGGAGATCTGACCTCAAAAATATTTTTAGGCATATGTTTCAATTTTTTTTTCATGTTGGAGCTAGTAGCATGTAAGATAGCTCTGAAAATTTGCACTCCCTGGGGGAGTATGAAAAAACCACAACATAGCCAGTATAAAGCGAAGTATGTAGTATGAGAACTGAACAAGAAATGGAAGTTTTATTAAGTGATGTTATTCTATCTTTAAACCCAAACTAAACATATCCTTAACAAAACAGAGCAAGGCTTGCAAGGCAAAATAAAGTAACAGGAAATTAATAAATGATTCATTCTGCAAGTATTATGAACTTCAAGGAACAAATTCACTTTAAACTCATACCAATTCAAAAACAATTTATCACTGATAAATGAAGATTATTAACCCTGAGCAAGGAAGATTGCTATTTAAAGCCCACCTATTCATTCCTCACTCTTAACACACATTCAATCTAAAGGCAGCTTGGTAGACATGTTGCCATATGCTGTACACAGCAAGCAAAAATCCTTTGATCCTTTTATTACTGTATCTTATTGTAATGATATTTACTTTTCTAAAAAAGCAAAGATAGCAACTGGTTAGGAAAATGTAAAAGCAATACAGATAACAGCTAATTTCCTTATTGAAGGGGTTTTCTAGTGGTGGCTATTGGAAGAAATATTCTGCACTTTAATTAGAATAAAATTTGTTATTGATTTTCATATTTGTCTTCTAGCACAGAAGTTTGGAGAATATCCTGTACACATACTATATTAATATTCCAAATGTATGATTAGATCAATATTCATTGTCATGGAAAGATATTCCACTGTAACAGAAAGTTGCCATACCCATATATTAAAATTTAGGTAAAATACATTAAACTACACAGATATTATTTCATGGCCTCTGTATTGTTTTCGATATCACTACCCACATGCAGGTGCAATATCAACATTTAAACTTAGAATAATTTCACTTTGCTCTGTAAATCAAGGGAATAAAGGGTATAAATAAATTTATCTAATTCTAGACCTGTAAGAGCAACAGGCAGTTATCTTTTTCTTTATCCCCCAGCTATTTTAGACTTGTCTTGTAGTCAGTGAGCAAGAGATACAGACCTGTATTACACTTGAAGGCAACTATACTCCTAGTATTTAACAAAATCCTATTTATTTAGAACATATGCAGAAAATTGTACCCAGAAAACTTCCCAGTGACCATGAAAAATAAGGTCATCCTTGTAAATCTCATTAAAAGAGTACAAGTTGTATACAAAGTAGCACTGGCTTAGAGTTTAACCGAGGACACAAAGTATCTTCTGCCTCATAAAGTGATAATTATGAAAGCCTGTTGAAACAAACATTTTTAGGTCCTTTGGAATGCTTTCTGTACAAGTGTGTCAAACTCTCTCACAGGAAACAGGACAATGAACCATTATGTACAATGAAATCTTCCATCTGCTCTAGGGGTCGCCCTATTAACTACCTGATGGAAGAACCATTCTAGAGTCAAAGTGGTACTAAGTGTCTAAACTTTCTAAAGTCACCTGTCAAACTCAACAATACTGATACAAATACAACAATAAGATACAGAATTATTGCTGAGTCTACAACAGTGTAAATACTGAAATATTCATAAAAAGTTTCTAATCCACAGCTGAAATTGTAAACAGACTGGCTGTTTTCCCAGCTATCCATTACCTTTTGCACAGAAACACTGTTCAGATTCGTTTTTTTAACTGCAGTGATATATGAGTCTGACACAATACTCCACTGACTTTAACTTAACGGCAAAGCCTGATGAGTCATGAAGCTAACAGCATAGCCAGAAGAAATATAAACACTTTTTGACTGTAGAAGCAATAAAAGCTATCTTATGTTCCTTCCCATAACAGAACTCAAGCACAAGGCTACCCCTGAGATTTTATCCTATTTAACTGAGTTAGGCAACATGTTCAGAGGTAACTGTGTAGGCGAGTGGGACAATGTTTGCCCATTTATTTGCCAAGAGATGAATTCCTAATGAAAGGTGCTGTGCTCCTGCAGAGGTGTCTCAGTGATGTTGTGGCATCTCTGTCACACATCTGCCTGAGTGCCACTGAAGTATCTACACAGCTCTTGATCTAGGTCAGGCCAATTTCAAGGATCAACGCCATGACCTCTTGTGTTCTGTTGCAATACAGATGTAATTCAACATTAAAGCAACTACAGTATATCCTACTAAGCTTTCTCAGGTATTGACCCTAGATGGCATCTTTTAGTCAGCAATGCATAACAGGAGCCACAACAAAAAAGATTTGTTAATTGCTACTGTAGAGCAAATAACAGCATCTTTTCCTGCGTAAAGTGGCGACTGTAGCACTTATTCTTCTGTGATACTCATAACAAAAGACAATTTTAGCCATCTGCACCATGTCTGAATATGTAATATGCATGAGCAGTGGTATCAATTTTATTTCCCCTTTAATCTTGAAACAGGCAATGGTTTTATGTGTAAAGGAGGGACAGTTCAAATATACTCTGATTTTTCCTGCTTTGTCTAAAGCAAATAGTGTAGATAGTGTGCTGTAATAACCTGTAAAACAAATTGTGATCTCAGGGCTCAGTTAGTAAATGGGGTTTTGATACAGTTTTAACATGCTGTGCATTTCAGTGGCTGTGGACTCAATGCACCCTCCTCCTCTCAGGACACACAGCTCCGCATTGCCTGGACACACGTAATGTCTAATACCATCAGAACCCCTAATAGTCCTGTCTGTCCAAGATTGAGTAAGTACATTTATTACCCACATGAATTAGCAATGCATTATCAAATCACCTGGGTATCTACAGTTTAACCTGAAAACACTCACCTTTAGTTTTGCTGACTACATGGTTATCAGCTTTTCAATTATCTTCTACTATTAACTGATTATCAATTACATCAAAATATCTCAGATCATGGATTTTTGAAAGAAAGCGTAACTTTGTGCTCCAACTCGGGACAGTTTAGACTGAAAACAACAGCCTTCTTAATAAGTTTTATAAAAATATTTTATTTTATAAATAAAAATATTTATTTTTTGTTTTTATTTATAGTTCACAGGAGTATTCTACTCAATTCACTGCCATGTCAGCTAAACTTCTGAGTATCAGGATGGCACTTAACCCATTCTATTTCACTAGTGACTACTTACCTCGAACTGTAAGAAAGTTTTCTTTTTTTCTTGCTTATACAAACATTGAAACACTCCCATTCATATAATAAATGTGTTAGTATTTTCTACTAATGTTTTGGCTTTCTATAAATAACACCATGTGACAGAAAAACCTTCAGGAAAGTGACCAAAACATCAAAACAGTGTTCTTACCTGTTTCAATTTCCCAAATATAAACTGAATTGTCTTCACATCCAACAATTAGCACATTCTCAAGAGGATCAAATTTTATCTTCTTCACAGGAAACAGATGCTTTCTGGCATGTAAGAGACATTGTCTCTTCTGGAGGTGAAGAATTGCTACTGAGTGGTCACTGCACACACAGCACACTACACTCTGGTCTTTTAACTGCAAAACAAAAAACTCCAGTTTCAACACTGTAACCACATTCATAACCACATCATTTTAACTGGCCTAGTAAAAGTATTCCAATGATTTCCTTCCCAGAACATACTAATTTTAGAAAATTATGTTTTATGTCAGCTAACATCTTCAACTTGTCTTCAGCAGGCTGGCTACACAACTCATTTTCTGACAGGAAAACATATCTTCATCTTTGTTCTTTCAGTATTTTAACTATAATTTAAATTCCATTTAGTCAGATATTTAGCATATTAAAGCAGTGATTATATAACCAATTAAATAGTAGCAGTTCTTCTAGAAGAGAAAGTATCTTAAAAATTACAAACTAGTGTTCATGTGATATAAAATTGTGTCAGGTCTAAAAAGCCAATGGTAAGGTATTTCTAACAAAAAACTAAGTTAAATTAATTCACATGGATCTGATACTGCAAAATCTTCCCTACCTGCAAGTAATTTTTGGTGGCACGTGGAGGGATTCGCCCACAGAACAATTCAGCTCTTTAAACAAGACTGAAACACAAGTCAGGTAGGCATTAAATCCTACTCAGTTTTCAGAATAAAGATGAAAAGGAGCTTTACACATATTAAAAACTTTTTTATTTCAAGCCATTTTTGGACTACTTTATTTTGTTCTCAGTAAGTGAACTGTGAGTCATTCGTAAGTATCAAATCTGTCTTTGCAGGCTTTATAAGAGGAAAAATGGAAATCCCAGCCCCACAGAATACAATGTTCAAAAGTTACATAAAACATTCAGTAAATTTTCACCTAAATTTAACTTCAAAATTCAATCAGAACACAACTTTAAATTATTTTAAATACCAAAAAATGTAAAAACAAACACACAAAGGACCCAAGATGTGTCAGGAACCAAAATGAAGTACATATATTTTGGACTCACAGGGAAGATTAAAATACTATGTTCAAGCTCCTAGCCTTAGTGAGTAAGTTTTTCTAAATTTCAGGAGGAAGAGTTAATCTGATTGACATATGTCAATAATCATGATAATAAAAATGGTGAATAGAATGTTAAGAGCTCCAATTTGATATGTCACAAACTCAACTCCCTGCAATTAAAAGCAACTTTTAGTGACAACAATTAAGAGTAGGTAAATTAAGTGTAATGTGGTGTGGGCTAAAGTATTACCAGACAGTGTTTTATTTTCTCTTGTATATAAATATAAACACACACAGAGATAGGTATACAGCGGTTTTTTTGAGACATAATTTATTATGCTTTTACTTACTCTGTAGTGTTCTGGGGATCTCAAAAGCTCTGTCACTGCACCAGACTGCAGATTAAACTGCTGTAGAACGCCTCCAGTAAATATATCCCAGCAGATCACAACAGAATCCTGGGCCCCTGATAACAGCCAGCTTGGATCAAATCTTACTGACTTGTCATGTGGATAAAGTAAGCAAGTGACTCTGCTACTGTGACCATTCAGAACCTTATAAGGTAGTTTATCTGAAAAAAGATTACACATTATTTTTGCTCTTCAGGAATAGGAGTTCCATATTTTACAGCACATTTCCTGAAAGTCAGGATAAATATAACCAGCCTTTACATGATGTCAAATAATTTTGGACCTGTTCCTAAAAGGGAGAACGGAGGTCTGCACTCTGAGCTTCACTACTGAGATGTACCCTTTATGCTCCCTTCAGTGGAATGATCTTTTAGAGAGCAAATGAAATAGAAAACTGCCAATATAGTGACATGCCACATATCTCACTACTAGGGGACATCCAATCCCACGGACATTCCCAGATTCCTACTACTGGAAAGCACCTTGGTAGCTCTAAGCTATGATCCAATAGATCAGCTATAGAAGAAGAAAGATCATCATAATCTTCCATTTACCTAATTCCTGACTGCTAGCCCTACTTTACAGAGAATTTTACATGGATCACTGGAAGTGATGCCAGAAATAGGAAGTCATCTGTGCTTGACTGAGATGAATCTGAACAAATTGTTAAAACTTACCTTTAAGAAAAGATATGTTTTCTAAAAGTCTTGCTCTTGCAGTTTCTAAACCTAATGTTACAAAAATTTTCCCGTTTTCACATCCACATACAAGCTTATCAAGACCAGGTATGTACACAGAGGAACTGACAACTGCACTTCCAAATCCATCTTCAGATTCACAAAGTTGATCGATAATGCCCTCTGACATGGAATGATGTTTATCGAAATTATCCTGAAGAGTCCACATGGTTGTAATTGGGATCTCTAGAGGGTAGGGTGAGAGAATTTTTTTGTTTATGCAAAACAAAATATAAAGAGTCAAACTAAAAAAATAAACCTTTTCATCTCTTGATCACTTCCCTTTACTTATCCCTTTCTGCAGTCTAGGGTTGGAAAGTCAGCAGTTGCTATTCATTCTAACTACAAGCAATCACAACACAATGAATAAATGAGCATCACTTTCTTAAAGTTTTCAATGAGAATTTTGATTTTCATAAAAATTGGCTCCAAGACATAATGAAAAAGATGGTAGTAAAATGCCAAACCTTTTGGAGAACCATCAAACATTGACACAGGCACATCAGGAACATGCCACAAAGTGATCCGTCCTGAAGCTTCACCAGAAAAAAGAACCTTGTAGAAAGGCTCCTTTCTTTCATTCATGAAGCCCATGATGAAAGGAAGACTCTGTCAAAAACAACATAAAGTCAATAATTGGAAAGAAAATTGATAAAATAATTAATTCTAAGTGTGAAGGAGTTTTTTTTTTCATCAAAAGCTGTAAAAATACAGAACAAACTACAGTTGATTCCTTATCACCACTAAATCCTGCTCAGACCAAGTCTACTCTCCCTGATACAAATCCCTCAAGGATCACCTCTGCTTTGGCTAAACCTACATCCTAAATGGAAAAGCAGACTGGGAATTCTCCATGTTTTATAGTTTGACCAGCATAAGGACCAAGGTCAGGCTTAAAAAACAATACAGTGAAATATTGATACTCTTTGCATCAAAAAAAAATTCAGTAAAGCTTCAGACATCACAGCTTCCATGACTACAAATAATGAAAGGTATGAATTATGCTTTTACACAGGTAATAGCTTATAACACCATCATTCAGTCATGAGGTAGTGGAGCATTTCCAAAGAGCAATGAAGATGCTGAAGGGTGTGGAGCACAATTCTGATGGGGTGCAGCTGGGGGAGCTGGAGTTGTTTACTCTAGAAAAAAGGAGGCTCAGGAGGAAGCTTATCACTCTCTACAATTACCTCATATGTTGGATATACTTATTTAAAACACTGAAGTGTGAGAATAAGTTCCAAAAGAATTAACAGTTTTGTAAAATGCTTCGGTTTACAGTCCCAAAATGGAGTTCAAAACAGATCATCACACGAGATTTGGTTGTCTCACACATCTGCTATAAAAACTACTCAGGCAGTAAGGCAGAAATATTAAAAAAGTGCAAGTCATTATTTTTTTAAAAGCATGTATTTGGGGGAAGCATATGTGAAGTCTGTACCAGCACCGTAACCCTATTTCCTAAGCCATGTGTTTTGGCTATTTCTTTTCCCTCACCTTTTCTGACCTTCTGGCATCCTTCAGCAGTTATCCTATCTGATTTTTAGATCACACCATTTGGGGAAAAGCTGAATGGCTTGTGCTATTTCCCTTCAACTGAAAATTAAATCTGTCAGGCTCCACAGGATTATGCAACAAACATGTTTTTAAAAGCCTCTATTTGTCAACAGAAAGAATGCTAGAAAACCTCACACAGGTATATATTTAGCAATGTTTCTAGTCAGCTACAAATAAAAATAAGTTTCCGTTGCATATCTTCAGAAACTGCTTAACAAACTGCTTGAGCTGTCACACAAACACTCAAACTAAAACAATTTCAGGCAGGAATTCAATCCACATCTTCCAACAATTACAACTTTATTTACAGCATTAGCAATCAGCATTAGCAAAAAAAAACTAGAACCAAAGCTACACAGAAAAATCTTTTCCATTTGCTCTGGTTCATTTTTTGCCCACGTAAGAAGGCCTACCACCTATCTTTCTTGCCCCCCATTCCCCAGCTTCCTAATTATAGTGAATTTTCTTCTTTTCAAATCTCTTAATATTAGAGGCTTATTCAAGCCAAGACCATGGTTCTGCAGTGTGTCTCATTTTATGCACACTACATCAGTCTGCTCACAGCGCAAAAAAGTTCTGCATGTGATTATGCCTCTGAAGGCTCAAGCCAGCAGTATTTTGGATAAAACACCACAGATTCAGAACCCTTCAATTTCAGGTGGATACACAACCTATTTATATAGTTACACTGAAACATGCATACATTCATAAAACAAGAGCTAAGTCATTTGCTTACATTTTGCTCATGGGTTGCCTTTTTGGACTTTGGTTTTATGCTATGGTTGTATTAGTTGGGAGATTGTATTACTTATTTTATTTTTATAGATTTGAAAGTAGAAGCTTCTAAAATATTTTAGACCACATCTTTGTTAAAAAATACTTTTTTTTTTTGCCAGAATTAGAGAAAAGAACCAAGAACCAGTCTATCTGGAATTGAAGATAAAGGCATTTCTCCGCTGTGGAAAAAACTTAAATATAGCCAAAAATCACATAATACATTATGAGCCTCTTCAAGTTTGTAATTAACAATTTTAAAATTAATAAATAAATATTACTCCTTGTTTTTATAGAACAATTAAATCTGTTCATGAATTCATAAATTCTTTTGGGATTATTCAGGTTATTGCAAACAGTCCATAAATAAACTTCCAAACCCTTATGAATTTACCTTATTTTCCTTCATACCAGTAAAGCTGAGTAAATGAGGATAAACTGTTTCCTTCAGCGCCTTCCCATCAGCAGGGTACATGCTTTTAGAAAGGCCACTGTATAATTAAACAAGAAATTTTAAACTTACAAGCTTTAGAAAGTAATTTTTTTAGAAAGCAGAACAGTAACATCCAAGATTCACAAGTTCAATTAAAGGTAACCAAATAAGTAATTACAGGAGACTTTTTGAAACTACTGCACCAGCTGCCCAAGTTCTACATGGCTAATCTTATTCCTATGTCCCCTGCTGTGTCAAACAAAGACTGAGGGCTGTCAAACTCAGGGTAAATCTTTGAGTGCCAAAGTGGTTTTGTTCTGGTTTTTGATCATTTGCAACATGCAGAGATTTTCCATAGTAACCCTCCCAAAGTTCATCTTGTACCTGAACTTTTTGTGTGAATTTCCCATCTGAGCCCACCTGTTTAGCAGCTGGTAGATGTAACTGTGGCCATCTTCTGTCCAGATGATAAGTCTGTAAGCTGCCAGCACTTCCCCACCAGCAAAGCACTGACCACTCTTACAGAACTCAGTACAAAGCAAGGAGAAATCACAATAATCATAGACCTAAATTCAGAAAAACAACAAAATATAAACAAAGAGTATTGGCAAATTCATAAACCTAAATTGGGTTTGGGCAGTGAATCAGGAAGTAGAACATGAGTTCCACTCTTCATAGTTGAACAACTATTTTTAAAGCCTAACATGTTTTGACAATAACAAACTACTGCAACATCCAAGTCAAACAATACAGTTCAAAATTAAAGAAACTGACAGTTAAAGAAACAACTAAAATGTAGCATTAGGTCTTATATTATAGATATTAGCAGAAAACAATGTATGATACAGATATTTTTAAATGAAAAGTGGAAAATCCATTCTACACGTGAATTTCCTCTATAAATGCTTCCATAAAGAATTTAGGTAGCCCAAGAGACATCTCAAAGATAGCCTACAACTACATTATTTGAAGTTGATACAGGTATATGGGAAATTTTTTGACCCATTCCTGCTTCCACAGAGATGTTAGAATCAGGTATACATGTTAAAATAATCCTGAGTGATTAGTGTAAGAAATTTTGTAGCACTGGAAAAGGAAAAGACAGATTTTTTTTTTTTACAGTAAATTTCAGTTTAAATACATTAGGTTTTCTCTAAAACTATTATTCATTTTTTTTAAACATTAGTTACTTTATTATAGCTTCAAGAAAAAGTAATATAGCCAGGAGTCTTTAGCTTTGCTGCTGTTTTCAACAAACAAAGGTCCCTGACTACTGAGCACTTGCCAGCTGTGAGTACTTCTGTCATACTTAAACAGGGATTTTTATTCTTTGTCTCCCTTTCAAATGCACTGTGGAGGGGACTATAATGCACTCAGTGCTCTAAAACTGTCTAATACTTAAATCCCCCTTATATCCAGCCAATTTGGAGTTCAACTTTAAAAGCAGAAATACATTCATAAAAAATAAAAGCTTCATCTCTTTCACACAGTTAAGAAGTCAAGAAGTGTTGCAGGCATAATTATATCTGACAATTTGTGAACACTTTCTTTAACCTAAGGAGAAAAACAAGTATCTGCATGTAAAAGTCATATTAGCTTTCCAAAATGAACATTAAAAAGAAAGTACAATTCTCAATAATGTACCTTCCAGCACATGGAGGACACGACAAGAAGGAGCCTTTCCGTGTAAGTACAAAATCTTACTGCTTGACAGTTTATACAGTCCAGAGATTTTGATTCCTTGTCACACACAGTTTGTTTCTCCTTTACAGCACAAAGGGGGGGAAAAAAAAGCTATAAAATTTGTTTCAGATATCTGAGCTTTTAGGATAGAAACAACCCACTGAAAACTTTCTTATAAGAGTCTTTCAAAATTGAAAGGAATGTATAATTCGTAATTAACAATAGAAAGACAACATGTCCAGAACGAACATGCAAACAGAAGAATGTAAACATTCAGTGTGGCTCAGACTGTGATCTCACTTAATGAACGTGGAGAAGGACCAAAGGCAGGGCATAAATGGAAACTGCTGCAATGAGTGTCTGCTAGGTATTTCAGTGAAAAAATAGCTACAACACCTATAAAACAAAGGATCAGATTCAGAAAAGCTGATGAATATTTTACTTTCCCACTCATTCCTGTTGCAGCCTGGACAGTGAGATGTTGGTGTTGCCATATGTCTTGTTTGCGCTTAACACCTTTAAAGATAGTGTAAAAGTAATTCATTTTCTTAGCTCTGTATTGCTAAATATACTGTTAGAAACAATATATGTATTTTCACACCTTTTGTGGGAATATCAAATATTAAAGTCATCACACAATTATTCTATTGGAATTCTATTTATCAATTATTGATTAAATCACTTAAAATGGGTTTTTTCTGTTTTTTAAGATACCAACAGTCTCAAAACTCTCAGAGAAGAGAATGGCTATAAAATTGAAAGCCATTTTCTTACAACATCTTGCAGCTTCAGTTAATTCCAAGTAAATCCAACAATATTTATTAAAATACTGCTCTTTAGAATTTAGCTGGATTGTTACGAACTCTGCAGCAGTCCCTTCACAAAAGGTGCCCCCAGGCAGTAAAAAGACTGCACCACACCATATGTTCCTCTGACATCTGTAATCAGTTGTTAGAATCCTCAGAATTTTTACAACACAGCAGTGGGGTTTGCTCTAGGAATGTTGAGAAGATGTACACACCCCAAAATACCATAGATAAATCAAAAACACCAGGATGGTATCAAACGTGACACACTCCTCAGGGGTCTGATTCTACCCATGAACAAGTAGTGCTGCACACACCCTGGCCTGTCCAGCCAGGAGTTACCAACGCTCAGAGAAGTCTGTGGATATTTTGCTATTTTTGTCTCACTCCTGAAGTCCCTTTGTGAATCTAGCTTTTAGATTATAACTAAAACACAAAAATTGCATCACAATTCTAACACCTGTTCACAGAAGGTGACAGATGCTGAGAATATTAACCCAAAAAAGAGTGAGTTTGAAGATAGAAAAATAGGACAGTTGACACAGCAAGAGTCTTTTCCAAGTGAAGATAGCATTGTGAAAAGCAGACCGAGGAAAACAAAATCTAAAGGACCATTTTGAAGAGAGTAACAAGGGTGAAGAGGGAGTACAAAGGCCAATTTTGAAGAGCTTTGAGTTTAAAGGACAGAGTGAAGGGGCTCAAAGACATTATCAGGATAGCAGGAAAGCACTGCAGCTTAAGCATCCTGGAATATAAAAAGACAAGAAGCCTGGCCAAAAGGTAGCACAGTTGTCAAGGCAAAAGCTGCCCAATGGCCCAACTTTAAATAATGCTATGAAGGTGTGTTTTCAGAATTTTCTAACTAAACTAATAAAATCTATTTAATATATATATATAGAAGACGTAAATTCATTCATATTCTGCTTCAATGTAGCCTTTACTTGAGAACATTCATGTTAACACTGACCTGAATGCTATTCAGAGATGAAGACAGGTCCCATACTTTGAGAACTCCAGCTACAGACACCGCAACTAAAGAGTCTTCTATGAAAAGTTAAAAGTGAGATTGTCAACTTGAAGCCAAGTATAAACGGCTCCTTTCTATTCAGCACTAAAACAAAGATTCTTCAGGACACTGTTTATGCAAAATATCAGCTTTACACAAAAAAAAATATATAAAGAAATACAAAACATGTAAACAAGCAGTGAATAATGTATTAACAAAAGGCACAGAACTGTAGTATTGTGCCTTTAATTCGCCCAGTATTACAAAACTTACTTATACTTAATTCCAAGAACTGAGCTTACACCCAGTATAGAACATGCTTTCTCTAAAAACATATTAAATAAAACAGAAGCCTTAAAAACACCTCTTGTGCTATCAATGAAACTTTAACATCTTCTACATAACAGCTCTGTGAAACTAATTAATATCAAATCAAGCAGGAACATATCACCTATACAGAAATATTTTAGCACAATTTAATTTACCAACATAAATACATGTAAAACATATACCTTGAATTCTTGCAGAGTGTACAATACACATACAATTTATCCAATCAGAAGACTGAGATGATGATAAAGTGTGAAGAACACCCAAAGTTTTAGCATCAATAATTAGAACATCTTGATACTCTCCACAACAAAGAAGCCAGCCTTCACCTGTCATTCGGAATGAGCAATGGTAATACTGTCCAAGTGGAAAGCAGAGAGTCAGCACACAGATACACAAATGGCATGAAGATTTTTCACACTGAACATGTCCTAATCAACACTTGTAGCATCACTAAAAAAATAAAAGGCATATGTGAAACCATACCAAATATTGCTAGTGACACTAGCAAGGCTTAGTAAAAGATGCTTCAGACTGAAAGAAGCACCTGTCCTTCCTAAATATTAGGATTTTTTTAATTTTTGGAAGAAAGTCAGGTGTTAATTTTCCCTATAAATGACTAAGGCGTTTGAGACTTGTTTCTCCAAACATGTCATAAAGCTCCTGTCATCAACAGTTGTATGAAAAGGAAGAATCAGGTAAAGATGCAGAATACTTGTAATTCAATTTTGCATAATTAATTACTGATTACTTTCCAGGAAGGATTTATACTCCATAGGATGTTTTTCATTCTGACATTAAACACCCTAGAGTGTTCAGAAGATTCTTTCTCAGCAATCACAAAGGGGAAAAAAAACAACAGACACAAAGCAAAGGAACAGAGTGCAGAGTGACTATGAGGATTTCTTGTTTGCTAGGTGTTTTATATGTGCAAGGACATCTACATTGCATCTCCAGCTGTAATTGGAAACAATTTCTATAAATGCATAAGCAGCCACCTCAAAGCAGATTTACATTTAACACTAACCCTAAAGGGAAAAATCATCTAGTCAGACAAAAATATCAGACAACACAAAAAAAACTGCACTTCATTTACAAATTTTCTGTACAGTTTTGGTTATATAG